TTTTTGTTTATTATTATTTTTTTTTAAAAAAAACTATACCTTCCCACACAAGATGCCAAGGTTAATAATACGAGACGCACGATCATCATGCTCCTATTCTTACTGGCAGGTAGCAAAGCTTCAACACACAGCCACTCTCACATGACTGTCAGGGTAGCTCTGTCAGCTGTAGGCCTGATTGCTCTGGCTATTACATTGATCTATATGCCATTATCAGAGACCACTCTTTCCTAGTTCCTGTGTTGTCGATAACCCACGTCATCTTTCTACCAGGATGATGCTGTTGAGAGCCACATGTATGTACCACCGTACTGTATGTACATGTAGTAGTACATGCATGTAACGTGTTCTATTTATTGATTGCCAAGCATGTCACCAAGCATGTCACCATATCCCAAACAGGGGCATTTCTTGGCATCATTGTCTAGATCTCGATATGCCCGACGTTGCTATCGATAAAGGGCTGTTCTAGACCCTTGCGTCAGGCACGCAAGGAATGTTGCACAGCGCCGTAATCTAGATAGAATTTAGACTGCCTTTGTATCCAGAAAAGAGAACAGTGCCATTTTTTTTTCACATTCTGAAATATGCGTGATCCAGAACCTTTTTTTTTTGTGTTGAATCGATCCCTATTCACCAGGGGATGAGATTCTTCTGGGCCTCTGCCCTATAGAACTGATAGGAGATATAGCTTGTGTTGCTGCTGTGATCAAAATTGATTTCTATTGCTCGACCTCATAGCTTCTTCCGCAAACTAATGTCTGTTTTCAGTCGCGTAAACGCGACGAGACTGGCAGACCCTAAAGCCATCGAGCCAGCGTAGTAGATGGCGGGATGAAATGCATCGATTCCCTTCTGCTGCCCTCCAGAGGCGTTCAACAGGTATCCGGCAATCGGAGCACCCTAACCAAGCTTATCAGAATCACTGCACATGCCAGCCAACAAAAGATAAAGAAAACTATCTTAGAACATACCAAAAGGTATCCTCCACCCCAGCCAGTCACAATCATCCCCATTGCGACAGACACTCGGGCAGAACCGAAGACATTGCCAACCACCGTCGGCATGGTGGCGAAAAATCCGCCATTTGCCATGCCATTGATGATCACAAAGATGATCAGCGGTCCGAGAGAGATCGAGACCGGCCAGAGGACCAGCATGCTCAATGCGGTGAGCAAGAGGGAGATGAACAGCGTATTCAGAGGCCCCAGCTTATCACTGCTGAAGCCGCAAAGAAGCCGCCCCACAGCAGATGAGAAATTGAAAGCTGCGACGAGACCAGCACCCGCACTGGAGCTCAGGCGAAGGGAATTGGCGTATAGAGGTAAGAAAAACGGAGGGACGAAAAGAGGGAACGTGGCGACTGCCCCGGCGACAAAGAGCACGATGAATCGAATATCTCGAAACAGTCGCCTGAAGACAAGGTCTCAGCAAAGCATCGGATTAAATTGCAGTATACATCACGTACCAGTCGATAAATGCAGTGGGACGGATGGCGACACGCTCCTTGATGAGGTAGGCCGCAGGTAGGCCTGTCGCCAAGGTAATAAAACCTATGACCCGGAAAGTCCATGCCGTCCCTAGACTCTCCAGCAGACCGTTCAAGACGAAACTATTGATGGCACCACCCAATCCGCCCCCTGCATAGACGATACCATTCGCGATTCCCCGTTTGGATTTGAAATACTGAGTGGGCGTGACGGATACGACCTACACGAGCGATGAGTCCAGGACACTAAATCCGCGCGCTTGAAATGTAGATCGGTCGTCCTTACCATGAAACACAGACTGCATCATTTATAGTCAGTCAGCCATAAATGATCCTTTGAGATGGAACGACAAAGACGGTTCTGACCTTACTCCAACGCCCATGATAACACCAACAGTGGTGAACAAACCGCCAACATTTTGGGTCGTGAACCCACTCAGCTCCTCACCAAGTCCTAGTAAGAAAACCCCCAGGAGGCTGGTGGTTCTGGCACCGAGCTTGCGGATGACTCTTGCATTCAGGACAGCCAGGAATGAGATACAGCCCGTGGTCAACGACCCCACGAAAGCTAGTGTTGACGGAGATGAGACGCCTTGCTCGACCAGGGCCGCCTGAAGCACCCCCCAGCAGTAGGTTGTCCCAACGAACCAGAAGGTGATCACCGCGCAGGCGAAGATGACGACCCAGCCGTAACCTCCCTCGGGGACCTGAGAGTCTACCAGGAGAGATGCCTGCATGACCTCATCCGTGCCGGATGGCGATATCGTCACCGGGTGGGCGGTGGTTCTGGATTGTCTTTCCTCGGCGACATTTTCTGCAGGTTGAAGCTCGATTGCGGTGGTAGTCGTTGACATGATAGTATACAGACCCGCGTAGGGTGCAGGGATGGCAAAAGAATAAAAAACTCGTAGGAACTGAATCCAATTGATGGTTTCGATCTGAGAAATACGACGTCAAAAATTTCCAACTGCAGGTATCTTCATGCCTGCCTAGGTAAGTACCTAGAAAGACGAGTTGATTGGTAATAAGCTTCGGGAGATCGTGCATAGGGCGCGTTTTTGGCAACCATGTGGGGCAGATGACAATTATTGATTAATAATCGAGCAGAAAAGATCAGTGTCTTTTATCTTTCTTGGATAGCAAATCTGGGGTCTGAAATTGATTAGATTCCTTCTTATGGAGTAGATGTCTTGTGCTGAGAGATTGTTAGTGCGCTGCGCCAGCATGTCTTAGTAGAATACCTAAGACTGGACCATATAGGACGATGCATGTACTGTACTATACCAAGAACACCGAATTATCATTAAACTTACCTCTCAACAATCACCGTATTTGAGTTTGCCTGGCCAAATCGAGTTCTTATTATCTAATGAATATACGGAGCAAAAAGCGGGGCATCCAACCCACCTGCCCGGGTCCCCGCAGATAAAACGGTCCACGTGAGAGACAGGCACATGGAGATCTGCACCGGAGAATTTACCATTAGTTCACACTTGCATATAGGTATTATTTGCTGATACCATACTATATATTAGCATTGCTTTCAATTGATTGTCTTGATTGAGAGAAATGGCGCCGTCATACAAAGTTGCTGTCATCCAATGGCATATCAAGGTGTGTTAACCATATACCCTCACATATATCGTGCATGGCATATAACATACTTCTCACACAAATGCGCTTACTCTATCTCTCCTGCAGAACCTCGCTCCGGATGAAAACCACGCCAAAGCGTGCAACTATATCCGACAGGCTGCAGCACAGGGTGCTGTCCTAGCAGTTCTACCAGAGTAAGTGATTCCACCATGTTCATGTTAATCCAGGGTGGTGTCAATGCCTCAATATTCAGGTTATCCACACATCATACTCTTGTATCTGTGACGAGCTTTTTTAATTGAATCTACCTTGCTCATCTGTAGATACCACCTCTGCGGCTGGGCCCCCGACGACCCCGCATACGCGGTACAAGCCGGCGAATATCAGAAATACCTGCAGGCCTACCAGGCGCTCGCTAAGGAATTGCACATCTGCCTCGTCCCGGGGACGATCGTCGAGCGCCATGTCGTGAAAACAGATACCGGGGATGAACAAGTCCGCCTCTACAACACGGCCTACTTCATCTCCCACGACGGCCAGATCCTCGGCTCCTACCGCAAGAAGAACATCTGGCACCCGGAGCGGCCGTACCTGACGTCCTCGGGCCACGACCCCCATGAGGTGTTCGACACGCCCGTCGGGAAGATTGGCATGCTCATCTGCTGGGATCTGGCGTTTCCGGAGGCCTTTCGGGAGCTGATCGCCAAGGGGGCGGAGATCATCATTATCCCGACTTATTGTGAGTTGGCAGCATTTTTTTTCTTTTCCTCTATTGCAGTTGTAGTCTTCTACTAACGCTTGAAAACAGGGGGAAGAAACGACGCATCTCCCGCAGCGCTGGCCCTGAACCCAGACTCCGAAGCCCTCTTCCTCGAATCGACACTGACTTCGCGCTGCTTCGAAAACACCTGCGCCGTCGTTTTTGCCAACGCTGCTGGCCCCGCTGACCAGTGGCTGGGCATGTCGCGCGTGGTTCTGCCCTTCGTAGGACCAGTCGGGAAGATGGGCGCCGAGGAGGGCTTGCTGCTGGCCGATCTCGACGTAGGTGTGCTCGCCCTTGCGGAGGAAAACTACAAAGTGCGACAGGACTTGGCCAGTGAGGGGTGGCACTATACGTATCGGCATAACAATGCAGATGTCAAGCTGAAGGGGTAATCAAGCTATAGCACTCTCATCGAAATACTCCTAGTACGCTATGACTATTCTACAGTTAAGACACCACCTGAGAAAGTAAAACGTCCAATTTTTCACCGAAAGCAAGGACAGAAAGAAATGTATCACAAATATAGAATTAATATAGAATTTGCGCGGATCATGGGGCATATAGATAAGGGTGATATAAAAGAGAAACCGACGGTACACAACATCATCATCACAGGGGGATCTTTCACTCTTAGACATGATGGATAAAGGGATGGAAAGGACGTCATGCATGCCAGCTCCAACAGAGAAGGAATAGAAAAACACCCAAAATGGAAGTTCTCCAACGACCACCGGCCAAATGAAAAACAGAAAATCGTAACCACATAACGCTCCTCAGAACCTTGCGGTAACGAACATGAACCATGTGCATCGCGATGAAATGATCTATTTCTACTGGACCTGGCTGACAATCTCGCTCGCGCGGGTCAGGCTCTCCACCATCTGCTGGCACTCCTTGCGGCGCCGGATCGTGTAGTCACTCTCCTTCAGTAATTCGTCAAGCTCAGCGTTGCGGTACATGTTCTCGAGCAGCTCCCGCTGCATTTCGTCCTTGCTGTATCTGGAGAGAATGTCAGCATATCCCAACTCCCCACGTCGTGACAGGAACAACATACTGTACAAGGCAATACATGATCGCCTTGGGCACCATATCAATCATGGTCCGCTTGACGATGTTGAAGTAGGAGTTGATGAGCAGTTCTAGAGATCAACGTTAGTCTCATCGACTTCTTTCAACGAATCCGTTGACGAGGGAATGCTTACTGATCACTTCGACTTCAATGTTTTCACGCTCGTTCAGAGTACCTGACGCCTTCAACGTGGGTGGCGGTGGTTCCATCGCGGCCATCTTCTTCTTGTTCTTCGACGCGAAGAAACTACCGAAGAAGCCAGTATTGTTCCCCTCCGACGGCGACATGCTGTCCAACGACGGGCTGCTGGAACGAGGGGGCAGGGGCTTCCCGGTCTTAGGGTCGACCTGAGTGGGCTTGTTGGCGTTTTGACGCTCGTTGACAATAGCCATGGCCTGATATAGTCAGATATGCAAATCTTGAAACCGATCTATCCGCACAAACTTACCCGATGACCGTTGAGGAAGTCGGGATGGCCAGTGTTGATGTAGCAAGCTTCCATGGCGACTAGGTCCTTGACCAATTTGTTGGTAGGCTCCATCGCCCTCTTGAAGAATGAGATGACAACGTTGTGGAACTTCTCCTTCAACATCGGATAGCGGCGGAACAGCTGCTTGTTGAGCAGTTGGCCAAGGATGCGAACGAGCTCATCGTAGACCAACGAGACACACTTCAGACTGGGGTCCTCAAGTCGCTTGATCTGCTGCTTGACGATGACCTCGAAAGCAGTGGTCCCGACAAAGAGCGCCGGTGACGAGCCGGAGGAGTTGTAGAGAATGGTTCGGATGTCAACGTCCTTGACCTGGTCAAACGGATCCACAGCCTTGATACCATTCGTGTACAGCTCGTGGAACACGAAGCTGATACGAGCACCACCCGACAGCTCCACGCTGGAAAGCTCCTGGTTGTTACCCTCCAACACGGTGCGGTATTCGTTGCTGAACTCGGTAATGATGTTCAGGACAATGTTGGCACTGTTTCCAAGCATCGAATCGCCAAGCTGCGCCAGTTCGGAGGTATATTTCTGTAGTGACGAGGAAATGCGGGCCTTGATATCGGGAAGGGTTTGCTTGATGTGCATCATAAGGATCTAGAAAAAGGGTTGAAAACGAGAGGTCAGTCGTGCTCGGTTAAAGGAAAAGGAGTGTGGTAGGATGGATCAACAAACGTACCAAGTTCAGTTTCCTGGCCAGATAGGGAGTTCCACAGTAGGATGCTTTATTCCGGTAGGCCTTGTGGCTCTCAAAGAAATTCTTTTCATGCTCCAGCGCATATGAGATCGGCCGCTTGTTCTCGATATCGCGCTGCCCCCGGTTGACGACCGGAACATAACCCAACCGCAGAGGGATAATCCTGCCCGCAAGAATATCCACCACGTCCGTTCCTTCGTCCATCAGATCGACCTTGGTCAGGACACCGATGGTGCGCTGGCCCTCCGGGTCCACCTCGCGGGCCAGTTTCAAGCCGTCCGAGTTGGCCAAATCCTGGTTGGCCGCAGTCACGGCCAAAATGATCGCATTTGGCTTGCTGATATACTTCAAGACCATATCACGGATCTGTTTCTCGATGTCCTTAGGCTGGTCGCCAACGGGAACCTTCGTCAGCCCGGGCAGGTCGACAAGAGTGAGTGTGAGCACGTTTGGGGAATAGATGCGCAGGTTGATGGGGGCTGGCGAGATGCCTGCATTGCGGCCGACTTTGGACTCTGTCTCGCGGATGATTTCCTCTCGGATCTTGTTGAAGTCATAAAACTTCTGACCGGGGATGTGCAGGAATTCGCCATATTCATCCAGATTGGCCTCACTGTCGGTGGTGCCTTCCAGCTTCTCTTGGCTTGTGCCATTTGCTTGCGGCTTCGAAGAGGGCCGGTTGATCAGTTGCAGAATCAGGGGGCGGCGAGTGACGATACCAGCGCCTCGTGGCAGACTAACAAGATGCGAACAGAGGTGGTCAGCGGAGACCGGGCACCATTGGCATGGCACGACTGAGGGGGACAGAGGCAACTCACAAGTCTCTTCCGACGATATTCTCCAGCACGGAACTCTTTCCACTCGACTGTGATCCGACGACAACTATCTGTGGCAGGTCGATGGGGTTTTGAACCTGGCAGAGGAAGGAGGGGTCAGTCGGATTGCGAAACTAGGATGCGGGTGCGCAAGACGACGCACTCACCCCTACTGTGGTAAAGACATCTTGAAGTTTGTTGACGAGGTTGATGAGGCTGGGATCGTTCACATTGACCCTGGAGATAGACGTTAGCCATGACCGCGGAGACGGTCCTTGGGCAGAACATGGAGGGTGCCGCACGAAGTTGGGGTTGCCATCTCTGGCGAGACAGGTCAGTGGATACCGGATCGCACACGTCAGCAGGAAGCAGAGAAAGCGTTGAATTATCTGCAATCGAGGGGTGACGACTATCCGGCGCAAAGAGAGATAACAAGCCGCAGGAAGGGCTGTCGGGCAGCGTGTTTGTTGCGGTGTTGACCGAACCGACGGGACCAGCAGAGCAGATCGAGTTGTGTTCGCTTCAGGGCCGACGCCGGGTCAAGAGCCACTCCTCGGCATGGTGGTCTGGGCGTCCGCAGACCCACGCTGGCAGCACGAGGGTTAAATAATGATACGGAGTACACTTGGCCTTACCTACACTTACAAAGAGGGAGTTGGCGGATATGCAGATGCTTCTACGGAGTTTCCATCGCATACAGAACTATTTCTTTCCTGCTAGTCCCGAATTTTGTCTCAGTTCATGCTCCTTGTATTGCCTACGCAGTCTCACACCGAGCTAATGACGCGTCACGAGGCCCCAGTCACGGGATCCGAATACTGCTGCCTGACCTCTATTGAGAGACCGAACATCCCAGGAATAAAAAACCAATCACTAGCAAACAAGAACCCAAGAAATGAGAGAAATAAAAAGGAAAAAACAGAATGGAAGAATTGAGGCACGGCTATACGAATCTGGACTGTGTAGGAATATACTACAAGCGTTCAACCATATAGATGCCCGAGGCGTATGCGCCCACGGCTTACTCATCAGATACAGAGGCAAATCTTTCAGACATGTCTTGTAGCAGCTTTTCATACTGTGGCAAAGGTTAGCAACGCCGCCCTCGGTCAAAGGCGGGGTGGGAATTCGTACCTTGGCAGTCACGGCCTTCTCATCATCAGGAACCTCGAACTTCATGCTCCGCAGCGCCGTCTGGATATCGGCGGTGGCTTCTCGGATCTTCGCCCAGCTGTGGCCTTGCGCTACAGCCTTCTGCGCCTCATCGTGGTAGCTCATAAACGCCTTCATCATGTACTCCGTCTTCCACAAGGGGCAGTACTGGTCATATTCACTGTAGCCGTTCTGCTGCAAGAAGTCGTCCTTCAGCATAGCGGCCACATCCAGCGTGATCTTGTCCGAGTCTCCCAACGCCGACTTGCCGACCAGCTGGACGACCTGGTCGAGGTCCTCCGAGTTGGACAGCAGCTCCTTGATCTGGTCTCGCAGGCGGGGGAATTCCGGGTGCTCCTTTTCGTAGTACTTGTCGAGGATGTTGGTGTACTTGCTGTAGGACACAGACGTGTTGATCGAGGGGAAGTGCTTCCGCTGCGCCAGCTTCTTGTCCAGACCCCAGAAGACCTGCACGATACCCAGAGTAGCGCTGGTGACGGGGTCGGAGAAATCTCCACCCGGAGGACTGACGGCGCCGACGATGCTGACGCTGCCCTGTCGCTCGGGGCTACCCAGAGCAACACTCTTTCCAGCACGTTCGTAGAAGGACGCCAGCTTCGCGCCCAGGTAGGCAGGGAAACCCTGGTCTGCCGGCATCTCTCCCAGACGACCGGAAATCTCACGCAAGGCTTCAGCCCACCGAGAACTGGAGTCCGCCATCATGGCTACGTTCTTGCCCTGGTCGCGGAAGTATTCAGCCACAGTAATACCAGTATAGATGGAGGCTTCCCGAGCCGCCACAGGCATGTTGGATGTGTTCGCGATGAGACAGGTGCGCTTCATGATGGGTTCTTTACGGCCTCCAACATCAATCGTGAGCTGCACGTGCTGTCAGCAAGGATAGACTTAGAAACCACACAGATTGCCAACTTGCCTCTGGGAAGTCCATCAAGACTTCAGCCATTTCATTACCACGCTCACCACAGCCCACGTAGACGATGATGTCGCTGTTGGAGAACTTCGACACACTCTGGGAGATGACCGTCTTACCACAGCCGAAAGCACCGGGGATACAGACGGTACCACCTTGCACACTGGGGAACAGAGCGTCCAGCACTCTCTGACCGACAATGAAAGGGGAGTCGGAGGGCAGTTTTTCGCTGACGGGTCGGGGGACACGGACGGGCCAAGAGTGCATCATGCTGAATTCGGTCTTCTTGCCATCGAATTCAACTTCCAGCAGCTTCTCGTCGACCGTGTAGCTTCCCGCCTCCGCTATATGCGTAATGGTACCGCGCGCACGCGGTGGCAGTAGGATTTTGTGATCGTTCAGCAAGCTGTTCTCGAAAACGCTACCCCAGATATCACCGCCGGTAATATGGTCACCGACTTTGAGGTTGCCAGGCGTGAAGTCCCACTTCTTCTCGCGATCGAGGGCCGGAACGGCAATACCGCGGGGGATGTAGATACTTCCTGACACGGAGGAAATGCTCTTGAGGGGTCGCTGGATACCATCGTAGATAGTTTCCATCAAACCAGGACCCAGTTCGACCGACAACGGCTTACCTGTCCTGATGACAGGATCGCCGACCGTGACACCGGCTACAGTTGACAGACAAATTCCGCGTCAGCTTCCAGTACATACAAGCCCGACACCGAAGCAGATTACATAGCGAAAGAGCCATCCGGGGAAAGGGGGAAATTGTACCTGTTTCTTCGTACACCTGGATGGTCGCTTTATCGCCCTCAATCCGAATGACTTCTCCCACAAGCTGATCGTGGCCGACACGGCACTATCCGGCGACAAAAAGTAAGTCAGCAGCAGTGTCTTCAGCGCTGCAGGGCAGAGCCAGAGGGGACTGCGACAAACTGACCAGCTCATACATGGCACATCCGATCATGTTCTCGGCCACGACGACGGGGCCGGAGACGGCGAAGACGGAGCCATACTGGTCTTCGCCGGCTTCCAAACGCTTCCTCTGCTTGCCTTGGGGCGCCATGGCGGGCGATAGCGATGGCAATGGCGAGGGGGGAGGGGGAGGGGAGGGAGACTGGGCAAGGGATGTTGAGCTGGAGCTGTTGGGTCTGGAGGCGGGCGAGGCGGGAAGCGGTGGCAGGTCGTCCAGGGCAGGCGGAGACGCAACGAGCGTTGGTGACGAGGGACTCGACCCGGCGGAACTACCAGAACCAGGCTGCCCACGAGAACCGGCTTCGACAGCAGCGCCGTGGGCGATCAGATCGAGCAGAGACGGACGGCCTTTGAGCTGAGGTCTGCCTAGGCCTAGCATGCGCTTCCTCCTTGCATGGGCTAGTTCCTGAATGGGGTTCAAGCAGAGCGGACGGTCTGATGGGGGTTGGTGAGCGGCCATCCATAGCGTCATTGGCACTATTCTGCCGAGCACGGACGCCGACATGGATCATGGATACCTTGCTCAAGAGAGCCAGCTACAGCAGGAAGAATTGCAGTTCTGTGAATATGGATCCTTATATTGATGGGCTTCATCAGGCTTATCAAGATACTGCCTACGCTATACACGACGTCTGCACGGCTATACATGTCCCTCATTCTCAAAGGAGCCACGTCAATGGTCAGTTTCACACTAATCCACATGCATGGCGGCTGAGACCTCAATATTCATAGACAAACTCCGGGTTTTCTCCATCCGTGAGGTCCAAAAATCTGATATCCTGATCAGCAATGGATTATTCTGGATTATCGCCAAAACAAAAAAAAATCAAGGACATGGGGATAGCGGTTCCGTCGAATAGCACAGTGCGAAACGAGTAGACTTACTCTTGGTTCTCCAGCTTGACGTATCCTGGCTGCGCCCTTTGAGCAATTTTCTTCAGATTCTGCCTCCGAAGCCACCAGATGATGAAGACCAGATCGACGACACACAGGAACTGGCAGACTAGAATGGTGATCTGCGCAGGTCGGTAATTCGGTGCGTCTTGGGGGCGGAATGTCTGGGGCCCTGTGAGGAGATCTCAGCACTTCTCCATGGTCTCTTCTTGGGGAGCCAGTTCAAAAGAATCAAATCCTGACGCTATTATATATACTAGATCCGCATGGAAAGTTCAATGGCAACTCAAATCTTGGACACTCACAGAACGAGCTCTAGTCCTGGGAGATGCAGCAAAGGTTTACGTACCGATCAGGTTGCCAACACAATATCCGATGAAGTAGATGGCGGCCACCGTTGTCTTTTTCGTATACCCTGCAACGTTCGACGATATAAGGGATAGCAGAGCAACCCCGCACATAGGACTCATCTGCATCATATAATACCCGGCAAGCCGTCCTTCTTTGAGGGAATGTGGCAGAAACAACATTAAACAGATGCCCCAAATTGAAATCAGCAGTGTAATACCACCGATAAGCAGACGATGACCATATCTGACTGCTAGCCAACCGCCAAAAATCAGGGTGACTGCCTCGACGGCTCCGGCAGGAGCGCCATACAATAGGGCCTCCAAAGGACTGTATCCAAAGCTGACGATCTGTTCCAGTTTCGATCAAAACATGAGCATTGCACTTCGAAAGGGATAAAGGGAGAAGACCGAGATTACGCACAAGCTGGCTAAAGAAGTTGGTAAGGCCACCATTGGGAATGTCGCCAACCAAGGAAAAGAAGCACAATGTCCAAGTCAATGGGTCTGTCAAGGCCTCTTTGAATTGATAGAACTTGAAATGTTTGTTCCCAATTCCTTGACGGTTGACTCGGACCCGTTCGACGGCGAGAGTTCGGTCTTCCGGCTTCAGGAAACGCGCATTCAGCTGGCTGTCAGGCACCGTGAACAGAAAAATTACCCCAATCACAACGGTAAGCAGACCAGTCACGAGAAAAATGATTCTCCACGTTGCAAGTGTTGACCCGTGCTGCTCGACGCCTTTGGCAATGCCGTAAGCTAGCACCGCCCCAAAGATCTGAGCAAAGCCATTGAAGCTGTACCAGATGCCAATGCGGCCGACTTGCTCTTTTTGAGTGTACCACTAAAGCATACACGTCAGACGTGACAGTTATAGTACGAAGAAGCAGATGATATGCACCTGTGAAGTGAAAAGAGCAAATCCCGGTGATACTGCAGCTTCGAAGACGCCTGTTTATGCTGCTTGTCAGCCACCTAAGACCATCCATATACTCCTCTACAAAGCTGAAATGACCATACCCAGCAAAAATCGGATTGCAACTGCACCGGCGAAATTTTGAACTGCCGCAAAACAGGCCAGCGTGACTCCCCACATGATGATGCAAAATGCCGAGTACTTCGCCAGCGGCAGTCGTTGGAGAAGGAGGTTCGTTGGATATTCCCACGACAGGTAGCCTGAACAATTCGATTTCAGCTACAGCAATTAGACATATATCATGCGCCAAGCTTAACGTACCGATATAGAAGAGACTGCCCAGCCATTGGTAGTTGTCACCTACGAGATGGATATCCTTGTTCAACCCCGTTATACTTGCGTAGGATATAGTGGTCTCTAGACGTTGCAGTCAATTTCTGCTACCCAGAAAGCACCAGACAGAATATGCAACTTACTGTCGAGGAAATTCAGACAATACACAACGCACACTCACTTCGAAGTCAGTGCAATTCTAGTAAAGAGAGCTTTGAGAGCGGTTAGCATACTAATTGGGATCAGGTTCCAATCGATAATCCTCAACAGCCTTCGATTGGTAGCCTCGTCGATCTCAATAACCTCGCCTTCACGACCAATAAAAGCCTTTAAGGCCTCATCCCCATCGTGAGAATGCTTGATTATTGTCTTCGAGACTGCAGCGACCGTATCCTCCCGCTGCACTGGCTGCTTTTCCGGGCCGGCATTCACCATTGTTTCTCTGAATGAGCGACCTAGTATTCTCTTCACGGGATTTGGAGACGAGTACGCCTGTGGCAATGATAATCTAGCAGAAGCGATGGTGAGCAGCAATTGCAGCTGACTTTAATCCTACTGAGCAAAGATTCGACAAATAAAAAGCCCTGGATTTCACCAAAAGCGCGAACCGGTCGCCCACACGTTCTGTTCAATCTCGGGGAGATATTTACAACGAATAGAATACTCTACGAGTAAATGTCAAGGGACTTTGAACCATATAAGGCATCTCCTCCTATTTTCGCATTGGCCTACGAATGACGCGAGTTTAGGGCTCATGTTGCATTCACCACGAGGAAGAGAGCCGTGCATGACAGCTGGCCAGCCGATCTGGATGGGCATTAATAATGATTGATTGCACCGGCCACCACCGATAATGCATTCAATTCTAAACTGATGCAATTCTTCTCATAGGCAGGAGATATGCCGGTTGGGATGATCGGTGATTTTAGCTCCATTCACCCCCGCAGGACGGCCTTCTGCGAGAAATGCCGTTATCAGTGCGGAGTATGTATGTATAGAGCATGACGATCTTCGACAGCAGAAACAATTCACTTTTCCAATGCAGAATCTGTTGAAGGAATCCGATTTCATCTCGACGATGTCGACGTCGATGGGTCTGTGCTATTTCCGAGACCCACAGTCTCCTCGTGAAGAGAAGGAGAGTCCTTAATTTAGTTAACATTTATTAATCAAATTAGCCTCGACACGGCCACATCTTAGTGAGTGTAAGCCCTCCAGCTCAGACGCTTAAACCACCTCCGCTGGCTAGCGAGATACTTCGCGACTTGGCACCGGTGGCGTGGTTGGTTTCTTATCTCCTGTGGCGAGGTAAAGAGAGAGAAGAGATCAATCATCGGATGCCTTACGACTTTCTTATCAGATCCTTTTGCCTACGAGAAGATTGTTTGCCTACGAGAAGGAAGATTGTCGGATTGCACGGAAAAGTAATTTGTTTTCAAGGTGAAGAACATCGCAGCTTCTATCTATCGTCCGCATCAAGAATACAAACACGGCTTTACCACGAATATAAAAGGTAAAGACACCAGAAGAGCATCGTGCACGTGCATCTTCATTTATCGCGAGACATAGCAATAATGTTTACAATTACAAGCATGTGACTGGAACTGTCCCAGCCGGCTGCCCCGTTCCAGAGAACCGTCAACCTAGTGTACCACTCAACCGTCACCAACCCCACCAGCTCTCTCCACATATATTGACATGGACCTGACTTGTCGATGCAGAAGAGCTCTGCAAGAGATGACCAGTCTGATGAGACCATCATTCGTTTGACGAGTTGTCATTTTGATCAAGGGAGACAATTGATAACACATCTGATATCCGGAAACCGGTGTCTAATTCAATGACTCTCGTCTACAAATAAAAGAGTCAGACCGCGATCTTCACACTGGCCAAACAAGATGGACTGGTTCTTCCCCGTGTGGAAAAATAGCGGAGAGACTCGGACGTACTGGGGACGGACGATTCGGTGGACACCGCTCCATCCATCCGCGGAAGTCCTGCATCGGCTGAAATTCACCTATGACAGCCTGGCTGATGACTGTCTTGAACGGCTGAATGCGATCTCGCCGCCGAAGCGGAGAATGGCGGGCGAGAATGTGGAGCGAGACCTGTATGCACTTCTACGGGACAATGCCTCCAAAGATGACAGGCTCCGGGAACTGTGGGACCAAGTGAATACCGTTCCGGATTGGGTCGACTGGGAGCAGATCGAAAGAGGGCAAGAGATATTCTATCGATATGGGATGGCGAATTTGAGTGCGGTGAGCTGACATTCTCTTATACCCGTTGAGGATCGTCGTTGATCGATGCTAATATACAAATGCGTATAGCTCCCTTTTCAGAGTCTTATAGGTGGAATGTGAGTTGCAGACATTTCTCTTTTAAGATACTCCAAAAACTAATAGTTGTTTTATACCAGGGGAGCAGGACGGATTGCTGAAGTTCTAGTTCGTACGGGTGGCTTTTCTCCCAAGGTGGCTCGACGCCGACTATTCGAGACCACGCAGTATGTGTTAGAGGTAACCCGCTCACTGGATTCCATCAAACCTGGAGGCGATGGCCACGCGTCCTCTGTACGAGTCAGGCTTCTTCATGCCGCTGTCCGGCAGCACATCACCAAGCTGGCGCAAAGGATACCCGACTACTGGGATATGGAGAGGTTTGGCGTGCCGGTGAACGACCTAGACTGCATCACCACCATCTGCGCCTTCTCCACCGTTGTCATCTACCTGGGTCTGCCGCGGCAGGGCATCTGGCTCACTGACCAAGAGATTGCCGATTACGTCGCTCTCTGGAGACTGGTTGGTTATTACCTCGGGACACCCACGGAGCCATTTGACAATGCAGAAAAGGCGCGTGCATGGATGGAGTCCATTCTTATATCGGAACTGCAACCCACAGAGACTAGCCAGGTCCTGGCGAGAAACATTCTGCTGAGTTTGGACAATAACTACCCTCTTTATGCGTCGAGGGAATTCATGGAAGCCCTCGTCCGGTGGATGAATGGCAACGAACTCTCTGAAAGACTTGGCATGAGGAAGACATGCATGTTCTACTGGATTCTAGTTGCAGGATATTGCATGTTCATCGTCACCATGAGCTACGTTCAGAAGATCTTCCCAAATGTTGACAAAAACCTCATCTCGGTAAGTCAGATTACATGACATTTGCATAAGGAATTGTTTCAATTGCTGCATTTCCACATGTGACCAGCGACAACATCCGATCTGTATTTCAGATCTAACACGACACCTTTTAGATTCGCCGCAAAAGTTATTACAGGCTCATCATGGACGAGAAGCACGGACTTGGAAAAGAGACAAAGTTCAATTTCAAATACGCGGGCGAGAACACCCTTGATTCGCTCAGGCTTGGAGAGACTGTCAGTCGCAACGGTAAGAAACGAGGCATTGAGACGACAGCCTACATAGGCCTGATGATCGCTGGTATTCTTATGGCCATCGTTGGATCTCTCGCCACACTGCTGTTGGGGAATCCGTACGTGAAGCAAGCCCTGCTGAGTATCGGGCAGCAGACCGGGGCATATACTGCACGTCTCAAGATCATGCTTGCGTGATTTACCTATTCGCCGTGTAGTTTTATTTGATATGTATTGATAATTTGGACCGTCGTATAGTAGATAATGTACAATATTGTAATTGCAACCAATCATCATCATCATCAGGATCGTTGTTAACCAACGCCTTCACACCGCAAGACTGCGCAGCGCCAGGTACCTAATTCTGTGTAGCCTTCCAATCCAGTTTATCCATTGGTAATTTCCACTAGATAAAGGCATCAAGGCAGACTTGCATCGCAAGCAAAAGGCAACAACCAACACGACAGACGTGACAGAGGAGCAACGTCAATAAATAGCTGGCTCCTACCACTTCCCAACTTTATCTAACCTACTCGTCCAGTCTGTTCGCCTTGTGCCAGCATTTGTCGATGGAGTGAGTCGTGGAATTTGTCTGGATGGTACTGTACATACAATTCAAAACCTGGAAATTCTTACGTTAGTGGGAGAAAAAATAAAGAAAGATTCGGAATGGGGACATTTCACGATGCACCGTTGATCAAGGAGAATGAGCATCCGATACTACCCCGTGCAGTGCAAAAGAGGTGACGTGCAAATTCTTATACATTCAATACAGTCGACTCTGAAGATATGGGCATATTCGTATGCACCACTGGAAGGTTCCCCACCGAGAAATTCAGTCGAGTGTTACCATCTTTCACAGATGCGATATACCCTGCCCATGACGTCAGGGCAGATAACTTTCCGACACAAATATAACGGCCTATTGCTTACTTGCCTAGGTAGGTACCTAAGTACTTAAATACCCGCTATTCTCGATATTGATATATTGATATTATACACGGATTTAAGTTGAAGATCCCATAGGATACGGTAAGGTGCTGGTAGGTATTGCTCGCGTGCATCATTTCCGGTTCCTGCAGGTTCTAGATCACGATGATGCCATCCGTCCGTCTCGTTCCTGGGAAGCTACAATTCCAAAAGTAAATATTTCATAGCATATCATTATCTAAGAGAATTGTATTATTTTTCCCTTTTTCGTTCATTTATTTTCATCTATATATATTCTTCTCTTGACATCATGATAGCAGGTGGTAATTTTGCCAGCGGTTTACTATCTCCCTTCCTCGGCGCATTGCAGGCCTGTATCTCCGTTCTGCTCACGCTATGCTACGGCGTCGTCGCGCGGAAGGCGCAATTGATCCGTGAGGGATCGATTAACGATCTCTCGGGTCTCTGCGTCAAGGTGTTTTTGCCGGCTCTCATCATTATCAATTTGGGCTCTCAGCTGCATTTGGGGAGTGTCTTGAATTATGTTCCTGTTTTAAGTGAACAAACACACTCATTCTTTTTTTTAAGGACCATGCTAATGTTTAGGTATACAGTATGGTCCATCCTATACGCCTCGCTGTCTGTCGTTCTCGCCCACATCGTCACAAAACTGCTGAAGCTGCCACCATGGGTCACACCCGCATGCGCGTTCAACAACACCACCTCCCTGCCATTACTCCTGCTCCACTCCCTGAAAAGCACTGGCAGCCTGGATATTATCACCCCCGAGGGCCAGTCCACTCAGGAAGCGATCGATAGAGCTCAGAGCTATTTCCTGGTCTGCGCCGTCACCACCAAGACCATCTCCTACGCCGTCGGACCCCGAATGCTCCGGGACATCGAAGACGAAGACCAGCGCGACCAGGGGCAGGACGAGCGTCGTGATGAAGGAAGAGATGGAGAGCAGCAGCAGCAGCAGCCGCCGCAGCGCCGCCCAACCGAAGAGGAGATTGACGAGCAGACATCTCTGCTGCCGGGCCCCGCGCAGAAACTCCGTCATCAGGTCGGCAGCCCGATCAAGCGCGCGGCCAGATATGTCTACTCGTTCTTCCCCGAGCGCGTCAAACAGGAGCTGACCTCCGTCGACACCGGGTTCGTCGACGTCGCGATGGTCTGCACGATCACGGGCGTGATACTGGGGCTGGTGCCGAAACTGCACCGGGCGTTTTTCAACCCAAACGACGAGGGCGGCATCTTCAACGCGTGGCTGACGTCCAGCATTGAGAATCTGGGCAAACTCTTCACCAGCTTGCAGATCTTCATGGTCGGCTGCAAGCTGGGTGTCAGCTTTGAGAGGATGAAGCGAAGCAAGAACTCGGGGAAGGTCCCTGCCCGGGCGATTCTCACCGTCTTTATCATTCGATTGATTATTTGGCCAGTGTAGGCACCTTCCCTGTTCTTGTCTATCTCTGTTGACACTGGAATTACCACAGAATCAGTATATCCGTCATCTACAGTCTAGCCCTGAAGACACAACTCCTTCGAGACGACCCAATGCTATGGTTCACCATGATGGTGATGCCAGCTGGGCCGCCGGCATTGATCATCTCAGGACTGGCGGAGCTGGGGAAGGTGTCCGACATTGAGAAAATGGCCATTTCCAAAGTGTTGGCAGTGAGTGACCAGTACACTTAACTACATGGTATAAAATCTGACTACATTTTCTAGATCATGTATGCCTTGTCGCCATTCATCTGTTTCACCATTACGGGAGCTCTCAAGTGCTCTGAGGCGGTGCTCAAGTCTAAATCTTAGTTGCAATTACTAGCTATGTGCATTCTTATAGATCTTTTGCATTATTGTACAGAGTAGCAATATGCATGTAGTCCTCTTCCTCTGAGGTCAGCAATCAGTTGACTTCGTACGACAAACTATAAGATTATCTCCTTTCCTCGGAGAAGAAAATGGTAGAGACTTCTGCGTCTAAATACTTCAGTATTACTGACGATTCAAATACTACATGTGAGAAACGCATAAATAAATATGTTCAATTAATTCATCATAAGATTAGGCTCCAGTATATGATCCTCCAGTCGATCGTATTGCTGCATTTATTTCTATAGAAAAAAGCCGTGTCAATCAGCACCCGTCACCATTCACCAGAAAATCACCAGTTTCATGGGGCGAGACTCAAGGACATACCCCGCAGCCATGGCAAGCACAGTTATTGCTACAAATACAGTTGCGAGCACCGGTGCAAGGGCAGTTGTCGGCTCCACAGTTGCAGCCCATGTTGATCGACGATGGAAATAATTTTTTTAATTTATTCAAGAGAAACGACTCCCGCTCTGGTGAATTGATGTGATTTTTCTGAGAAATGGTTGTCTTGCCAGGAAAATGCTTCCCTGATCGCCTTATATAGACACCGTGGCGGAGATGAGCGGCATTCCGTACCGTGGAAAATCCGGGGAAAAGTGGGTTCTTGGCCTGGGCGTCTGGGATCACCATGTCGTCACTTTGTCACATACGGAGTATAACGAGGATTATCACCAACAGGTCGCTGGGGGGGGGGTGGTGGTGGTGGTGGCGACAGAAACCAAACCCGACGGACGGCGAAGAAATCCGAAACAAAAACTTAGAACCTCTGGGGCAAAAGCCATCTCATACTTGCCGTAAGTGTAGAGTATTGTCGTTGCTGCAGGGGTCACTGGCGATTATCACTGCGTCGTGGGCGATAAACTGAAAGTCGATTATTATTTCATCGCCATCCATTCGTTCATGCGGCAACTATCAGCATAAGGCATGATCAAGTAGGCAATAATGCCTTGGTGACACCGTATGTAAGGTCATCGGCTGTTCTCATCGATGATGTAATCATCTTTCCGACATTTTTGGCACCGATAGACGGACCTGATTGGAGTAACTGCAAGAGAATCATCACCACGGAGTCAAATTCACGGGTAAAAGCCCAGGAGCCGTGGCTGCTTGTGATGGCTTTCGTCAAAAAGTATGGATCGTACTAGAGCCCGATCGGTCCGAGGAGCACTGCAATGAGGCAGGACAGCCTGCGAAGTCAGGCACGTAAACAGCCAACTTGGACCAGACCAGATTCTGAACACTGAACAGCGTATTACTCTGTACTCGCATGCGCTGGCCGTGACAGCCAGCTGGAAGGACGACGTGGAGGCCTGGCAGGTGACCGTGCTGGTCCCGTGCCCACGACGGCTCCTTCCGCAATCTCTGCAAACTCGGCAATTACGCCTCCAAACGGCGGTCAGGCAGATGAATGGCCGGATTCTCTCTTCTGGATCCGCTCTCGTAGTCCTCGACTCTCATGTAGTCTCTCATGTCCCCAAGTCACAAACCCCTCCGATAAGCTCCTGCGTTCAGGTGACAGGCTGGGCCGGGACGGAGAGCCTGAGGGCGTCTGGTTGGTTCGAGAGAGCCGATCACTTGCGATAGAGGACTTGTCGTGGTCGTTCATGTGCTGCTCTCTACTATGAGCCCATCCCATGCCAACTGTGCGTCAGTTGTCGATTAGCAGTCCACCAGGGACAACCAGGAATTGCCAGCTCCGACTTGCAGAAGAAACAGCGGCCAGCTCAGTGTTCCACTCCTCCTTGATCTTGCTTCACGATAGGTCATTGGCTCCAGGAAACGCTACTTCTTCCACTCTGAGGCCCGAATCCACTCTGTATGATGTGCAGAGCGCTGTTACATGTACTGTACATGCATACTCGATGGTTGTTCTTGTAGTCGCTAGCCAAAGTTACCGCATCTTCACTCTAAGTCTGATCACGCAGATACCCGTACTTGACAATCGAGGGACAGAGAGAGGCAGGAAGAGTATACAGAATAATGAAGAAATCACACTTTCCTAGATGCAGACTAGGCTTCGTACGTATCGTAAATTAGAATGAGTAAGCCTGCTGTGCGGAGGCAGCGATAGCAGGCGCCCCACGGCCCGCCAGGCACCCTGAGGACCGATCATCGACCAACGACGCCTGCCGCAGCTCAACCTCACCTCCATCCGCTCCTCTCTATGTCGTGCTTCCCCCGACGCTCTCTCCCTCCTTGGAATCCTTTTCGACCCTGATCCACCCTGGAGTTCTCATTCCACCTCCTGCTTGGCCCTCCCCCTCCCTTTTGCTTCCTTCTGGTCCGGGGTTGGCCATCGTCAAAGCTCCCCTTGGCCCGTCTCTGGCACTTAAGGCGAAATCGGCCTGATAGTGATAAGAGCTGATCTGACTGCACCAGCCTTCGACAAGCTCCTCCACACAAGAGTCCCCTTCGACTCACACAGAATCTACCCCATCCAAACAAATATACTTTTTTTTTCTTTCTTCTTTTTTTTCTTTCTTTTGCTCCCAAGCTCTGGTGAAGCAGCTAATCGACGCCATCTCTGACCTGTGTGGCTAGCTCACTACACTCAAACCAGCAGCGGCAGTGCATCTGACTCTCCTCTTCTGGTCCCACGCCTGCTCCCCTGGTTCTTTTCCAGAGCCAGGCTGAAGAGCAGCTCTTCGTATTCGACCTGGCAAACCACCCTTCGCCGTATATACCCACCTCCGTCGCCCCCGACCGCCCCGACTCCCCTATCACCCCCGGTTCTGCTGTTCCATCCTCCGCAGATAATCTGCCTCATCAGCGTCCAGAGAGCCGCAACAGTCACCCGGGTTCGAGTTCGGATCAAACAGTTACCTCAGTGACTCCTTCGCACTCCCGTCGCCGTCGCCGCAGCGAAACGTCCTCCCAGGATCCATCGGATAGCAGTACGACCGGAGAAGGGAGTTCTGGCCGGGGGCAATCTGCCAGTCACAGGACATCGGCAGATCATCACAGCGTTCAACAACACGGCCGATCTGAAGGCCACCCTCCGTCTCCCAAGCGCAGGCGCCTGGCAAATATGCGTTCCGATGGTGGTGCATCAGCGGCGAGAGCAAACGGCCGGTCCGACATCTCAAATGGCTTGGCCACGTCGCCCCGGAGGAAAGCTGCCATCTCTGGCTCGTTGAACGGGTCACATTCGACGTCAAACGGACAGTCGCAGACGAATGGATCCGTCAAATCGCCCGCCCCGACGTACTTTGGCCACGATCGAGAGGAAGTGACGAGGATCTTGATTCAAAGTTTATACGATTTAGGTTACCATGGTGCTGCGGCCACGTTAAGTCAAGAAAGTGGCTACGAGTTGGAAAGTCCGGCCGTTGCAGCCTTCAGGAGTGCTGTGCTTGAGGGACACTGGGCGGAGGCAGAACAAATATTGCTAGAATCGTTCCGTCCCGACGGTGGTGGTGACGGAGATAATGCTTCTTCGAGTTGGAACAGGTTGGCACTGGTGGAGAACGCAAATAAGAATGAAATGCTGTTTTGTCTCCGGCAACAAAAGTTTTTGGAGTTGTTGGAGGCCCGGGATGTCGGAGCAGCCTTGATGGTCCTCCGACAGGAACTGACCCCTCTGAACTACAACATCCCCCAACTGCATGCTCTTTCGAGGTGAGTTTTGTTCTTCTGAAATCGTCCGTCTTGGACCGCCCACTGATATCGTTGCTCAACAGTCTTCTAATGTGTCCTCCGGAGCTCCTGCGGGAGCAAGCTGGCTGGGATGGATCCATCCAGCAGTCCAGAGAACGGCTGTTATCTGAACTTTCAAGTGAGGTTCCCCCGGTTACATTTGAGGGTTGGTAGTTGCTAACTCTCCTGAAGAATTTATATCGCCCTCGGTTATGATACCGGACCACCGTCTGGCTGTCTTGCTCGACCATGTCAAGCAAAACCAGATCAACCAATGTCGCTACCACAATACTTCAGCTCCGCCGTCCCTATATTCCGACCACGTGTGCGATCGAAGCGACTTCCCGCTCCAGCCGACGATAGAGCTCACTCGGCATTCGGATGAAATCTGGTATGTGGAGTTTTCGCATGACGGATCCAAGTTGGCAACGGCCAGCAAAGACCGCAGCGTCATCATATACGACACCTCCACATTCTCCGTAATCCACAAATTTTTGGAACACGATGAGCCGGTCGCCTACGCAACTTGGAGTCCAGACGATTCCAAGGTGATCACGTGTTCTCAAGATAAAAAAGCCAAAGTCTGGGACATCGAGGTAAGTCAAGGAGACTGGCCACGCGATGCCTGGCAGGATGGTTTGCTGATCTGCTTCAGACCGGGCGCTGTCTCCTGACCATTAATAATCACCGAGAACCGGTTACGGCAGCGGCATGGGCTGCGGACGGCCAGTCGTTCGTAACCGCTTCTCTGGACGATAAGTCGCAGCTGTGCCACTGGAGCATGCAGGGTCACATGTTACATACGTGGCCGGGAGGTTTTAGGGTCCAGGACTGTGCCATCACGCCAGACGGGACACGGTTAATCGCTGCCGATGAGAAGGGTAAACTTCATGTCTACAACCTTGCAACATATGCGGAAGAATATTGTCTCCCGTTGAAGAGCAAGTCCACCTCCGTCACCGTCAGTCGAGACTCGAGGTACATGCTGGTGAATCTGGCCGAGGGTCAAATACAACTGATCGATATCGAGACAACGGACGTGGTCCGTCGCTTCCAGGGTCAAAAGCAAGGAGAATTCGTGATCCGCAGTACATTCGGAGGCGCTACGGAGAACTTTGTCGTTAGCGGTAGTGAAGGTAATCGACGGTTCCCTAGCGAAGTCAGGGGTTTTTCTTCTGCTGACCACATGCACACTAGACTCCCGCATCTACATTTGGCATAAAGAGAACAGCAATCTCGTGGAGGCCTTGGAAGGTCATATCTCTGGGTGTGTCAATGCCGTGTCCTGGAATCCTGCTGATCCGGGCATGTTTGCATCGGCGGGGGATGACTATATTGTGCGAATGTATGTTGACCTGGCCATCGTTATCTTCGGAAATTGGGAGCTAATGATCTTGTATAGCTGGACTCGAGACCCTCCCAACGCTGCTGCAGCCCAGGGGAAACGGAGAATACCGTCGTCTAATATGATGGCACGCACGAGCGCACTCCGGTCGACGACAAGTCTTTAAACAAGACCATCTGAGATGATTGGCTATAGGTGACATAGGTTCTATATGAATTTGTTCCTCTAACTCAGCAGTCATCCATACCATCCTGGCTTGTCTGTCTTGTCTGTCTGTCTTAAGATTGCATATGTTCCGAAGCATACAATGTGCCATATTTTTCTTAAACGCCCCCCATTATGGAGTTCGAATTCTTTTTTTTCTTGCTAGTATTTTCGATAAAGAGGGCGGAGAGATCCAGCAACAATATATCTCGATAAGATCATATCACATTCTTGCCTGGTTATCTGTTCCGTTCTGTTTCGTCTTGTATTCACTCTTGCATCATCATCACCAGCAGCGGCAGCAGCATGGATCGATCGATCGACCGTCCCCCTTTTTTTGTGCACATGATTTCAATTTTCCTATTCTCCGCCTCACTCACCATCATCAGGGTTCATGGTGGATTGAACCGAATTGAATAAGCAACGATACGATAGCACGACAGGATAGGATAGGATAGGAAGGATAAGATAGGATAGTGGTAGGTAGGATAGGCTTTTTTCTTTTAATATCCAAGCTAAATAAATGAATTATTAAATGAACTGAATATTATTCGAAATGGCTAGCAAGCAAGCAAGCATCATGTAGTAGTCTGTGTAGTTGAGTTTTAATTTAATTGGGAATGGAATATATCAATCACATGTATTTCTTCTATCTATCTATTGCTTTGTTGATTGATTGTATGATTATATGATTAGGTAGTATTATATCATGAATTAATTCATCATAAGGTCGTTCGTATACACAGATAGGCAGACAGGCAGACAGGCAGGTAGACAAACACATAAGCTTGATGACTGATGTTATTTATGCCCATGCCCATGCCCATGCCTATGTCTTTTTGTTCTTGTTTTTGAACCACCAACGAAAACGACCAGGAAAAAAAAAGAAAAGTCACGACGCCACGCCAGGTGTGGTACAGAGCAGAGCCGAAATAGAAAAATAAAAGAGGAAAGGGAAAGAGGGATTGAAGAGGGTTGGGGAAAAGAAAAAAAAAGGAAAAATAGGCATAGTCGAGACGAGTTCAAGGCATGATGTGAGAGAGAGAGAGGTGAGGGAGGTATGTATGAATCGCGGGCAAAAGTTATTTATTTATTTATTTGCCGCCAGAAGTGATGAGTTTTCGAGCCTCGTCGGGTTTTATCCCGAGGACGTTGACGAGGTATTCGATACTATAAATGATAATTAGCAACAAGTTCTGCACGACAAAAAAAGGATTGATTGTCCGGACACTCACCTCGTATCACAAGCCAATCTTCGTCTCTCCTTCGCAAATTCCTTCTGGCACGCCTCCCAGGTCGCTGCTCGCTCCTTGGGAGATATCGTCTTGACTCGCATCTTGAACAGAGCACTCACCGGGCGATGGTCTGACGCCCGCACTTCATGCCGCCGATACTCCAGCTGCTTGATCCTTCCCACGCCCCGATACAGCACCCGATCGCACCAGGCCGGCGACCGCTTCTTTTCGCTCGAGTCGTACTCGTCCGAGCCAACATCATACTTGTACGTCGGTGCGAAGGTGATGGGTGCCTCGTTGAATGAGCGCAGACGGAAACCGGGATTCTTCCGCTTGGACGCCAACAGCTGATCCCTTTCCAGCAGCTTCGGGAGGTTATTCTGGCGAACCGCTTCAATGACGACATTGCGAGGCATCGAGTCGATCCGATAGTTGAGATCTCCATTCAGAATGCAGATCTCGTGGTCCAAGATCATCGTCCCATCACCGCCCCCTACGAAAAGATCGGTGCGCGCCGTGAGGCTATGCTCGGCAGGGAGCGACTCGCTCTCGAGAATGGCAGCAATGTCGTTGTTCCGATGCGCCGTCTGTGTTTGACCAGCTGCCAAATGACAGTTGATGAAGCACAAGGAGCTGTCATCAAGCACGAATCGAAGGATCAAAGCACCCTAATGAAATGAAATTAGATCTGGGAACGTACTATCGATCTCGAACTGTATCGACATACCTTATTTCCATGTAATCCACCCATACCCCGTTTCACCTCGGCCGAGCTGATGTTTCGTACCCTTTGTCGTTCCTTCTGTTTGATGAAGACACAGGTAAACAATCCCACCATGTCCGCCGCATGAAGGAGTACATATGGCTCGTCAATGGGCATGGCATCGTTGATACATGCAGCCAGGTGGTCTCTCCACACCCGATATTGCCGGCTCATATGTTCTTTTTCATGATTGTCCCGCTTCTTGCTTCCCATGAGCAGGCTCTCTAAACTGACGTCAGTATACAGGAAAGCACAACGACCTAAGAAGGGACAACGCACTAGCTGTGATCTTCTTATTCTCCAGGTCTACCAGCTCTTGGAATCCGAAGACTAATATCTCGGGGGGATTTTCAGGGTGGATCGCATCGTAGATAAAAGGGCTGTTGTGCAAATCACGCGGCACCGAAGCCCCCGCGTTCCACGTCACGATGGAAGCTTGAATCTCGCGGAAATTGCAATATTCGACGTCCCTGCTCTGCATCCTCATTTCTGCCCTGAAGTGAGCAATGTGACCCCCACAATGAATAGGAATATGTGTGCTAGAACCTACCGAGCCAGTCGTCTTCTAACATGCCATCCCAGAAACGGAGAAAGTTATCCGTCCCCAGAGAGGTCACTTGAAGACGATTTATTGTCCACACGCTACTTGGATCCATGATAATACCGCAGACAGGGCTCTCATGCGCACGCCAATCCTTCTTCACAGTCCACGGATTGGTAGAAATGTCATAGACGTAGATCATTCCAGTCATATATCCGGCCCAGAGATAATCCCCCACCATCGCCAGAGAGTTGATCTTGTACACGCTCACGTTCACAGAGGCCAGGCAAGTGTAGTCAGACGAGGAATAAACGGTGACCTTTCCATCCGCATGGCCTAAATACACCCGTCCTCCATCTTTCGTCGTGTGAGTACCTGAGGTGACTTCGCCGGTATGGTTGGCGCCCAATGGTCTTTTCAAAGCATGAAAGGACTCATCGCGCGCATTCGGTCGATAAATCCGTACCTCCTTGCCAGTGGCGAGCCATAGGTCATCACCTACCACCATGGAAAATGTGTGACCTCGTGCTACGCGATCGTGGGTATGGCAGGGACTGTATTGGAGGTTCGGCGTGCCTGTTTCGTCAGGAGGCCACACGAGCAGTCTTCCTTCATCATCAAGGGTCCACATCTCCTTCTTGTGTCGAAGTACCTTGATGACTTCCCGGCGTGAAGGGTATGATCTCGAGGAGACAATCGACTGCGTGTTGATATCGACCTCATGCAGTTCTCCGATATTCGTACCCAGCCACAGCCGCGTGCCCTCGTCTTCGAGACCTCGGCCAGGCTTGAACGCCACCGATAGCACCTTGACGGTCTCTCCGTGACCTAGGCTCAATATCTGTTCGCCAGTCGTGACGTCCCATACCCTCGTCAAGTACCCTGTGGTACAAACATGCTTCCCACAGACATCAAATTCGCGGGTGTCGTACCTCGTCGCTATGGACACGGTCCCTGTTTTGAAAACCGGCGGTCGTCGATTTACCTGGGAAGAGTCCGGATAGTCCGTCCGAGGCACCGGCGTATCTTCCGGCACGTCCTCCTCGTCCGAATCATCTGGGCCTTGGCTTTGAGCTTGCTGCGACGACATCGAGGTGGTATATTTTGTGTCGCGTGAGAATGGAGGTTGACGAGATCTTGGCGTCTGCGGGTTGTCGGTAGCCAACTTGCCACTGACGAAAGATGTGTTCCTACGAGGCGGAGGGGCAAATTGCGGATTCGTCTCAATTGGGGGAACCCGGTTCACAGAAGTGGGCTTGGCCGATCGCGATGGCAGATCGATTGAGTTCCTGGAAGGGATCTCAGGCTGCCTGGGTTCCGAAACACCCACCGCGCTGACAGGGCGTGCACGGAGACCATCCCGAGGAGGTAGACTAGGTCGATCTTCGGGATGATCACTGGTCACCAGCTTCTGGCTAGCCAAGGCAGGGTCACGAGTATCGCGATGTTGAGCAGCTGGTCCGATCGGCGGTTTGGTGTCCCTGGAAGGCTCGGGAACGGGCCGTGGCCTTGCAACTCCCGGCTCTCTCGCATCCACGGATCGTGGCACCGACTGGCCTAAACGGGGAGACTTCTCGGCAGGCGGCGGCAGAGAGAGAGGCTCGGGGGACAGTCGAGAAGGTATCGGAGGCTTTGGTGACTTTTCCGGTCGCGTGCTTTCAACTCTGGCTGACGGAGGTCTTTCAGGGCTGCTCGGAGGTGTACTGAAGGGAGAAACTCTGTCATCGAAAGAGCTGCGTTCATGCGTTGCTGCAAGCGCTCCTCCCTCCAATTGGGAGATGTTTGCGGGCTTCGCCGGTATCTTTGGTTTCTCTGCTCTGTTAACCGGCGGCGGAACTGAGGTGCTTTTTGCTTTCCCGACCGGGGAGACCTCCCTCGCTGGACGAGGGGCATCGACGGAACCGCCAGACGGAGAGTTCGGTGTCTTCGGACGGGAAAACGAACGAGACGGGCTCTGCCATGAGGCAGATTTGGGAGAGACATCCGAAGCTCCGCGATTCAGTGAAGACCAATGCTCACCGCCCTGTCGAACATCGACTCCACGAGGAGGGGAACGAGGCGAGTCCACCGTCAGAACAGGGGTCAGATGCGGCGAAGATCCAATCTGCATGGACATCGGTCGAGAGTATCTTCGTCCTCCTGACGACCCATTCCGGGTCGCCCCAACGGGCGCTCCATTGGAAGACCCGGATGATGTCCCCGTTTGCTGGTTCTCAGTCGCAGTCCAAGGAGATCGTGGGCGAGGCAGGTCCAGCGAAGCACGCGCAGCAGGTTGCGAAGCATCCGGTTGATCCCGCGGTTTTAAAAATCGAGGCGCGCTCTCACGCGGCGCACTAGGCCCGTTCGACGGCTGTCTGGAGTTCGCAAGGCCCTCGAAATGGGATAGAAGGGATGATACTGGCCTCTGGGATTACAGCCAAATGTCAATACACTGATATCAAATATACAAGTAGCATGCTAAACGGCAGGGACGAAAGAGGAACTTACAATAGGGGCATCGTCAGTGCCTTCTTTCTCCTTGCTTTTCTCATCCATGGCCGCGAGGAGAAGTCTGGCGCAGGAAAGAGTGAGACAGCCAGCTCATATGTCGCGGATCCCTTGGTTTCCCAATGCCCTTTTTAGCAGATGTTGTCGGGTTCAAACAGGCGCACGCAGATCGAGTGTCTCCGAAACGCGGAGACGTCGGTGAGAGCTCAACACCAAGGCGTCGACGCAGAGGTTGGCAGAAGAGCTCGTCAAGGCTGTGAAATATGGCGCCCCGGGAAAAGCAGTCAAGTGAAAGTCAAGTCTGGTCACCGGGCACAGAGGACATGACCAAATCGTCAGTGGCTTGGAGGGGAGGACAATGTTTCGGCACGCCGGCGGGACAGGTGATTCTTAGTGATCGTCAGAGTATGGGGTCTGTAAGTATCGACCCTGGCAAACGTTGGAAGTAGCAGGAGCAAAAGACAGAAGATCCTGTCGACACTGTTTGAACGGGCCCAGGAAATGGGGGCGATAGGGTCTTTCCAGGGCGTCCGGGGGTGAATTGTGTCGTGGGATAGAGTACAGGAGAGCTCTGGAATACGCAGCGCCGGGATGTGTCCTTCGCCGTCTCCAGACTGCCCGGCAGGGTTAGGTTAGGCTTCCCGCGCCGCCGCGCGGAGCAACGCTCTTAGTTGGCTTCGAGATCGGCTCAGCTGCAGTGCACTGCAGAACCACGCCGATATCCTCTGATCTAAACACTGGTCAGTCTGATTTTAATTTTAATTTCAGAGAGACAACATCACAATGTGGTGAGTTCCCGGTGCAGCTGCCATACCTTCCCCACCGCAAAATTTCTCCATATTCTTCAAGACATGCGGGCTGACTGTTCTCGTGCCACCGCCAGCAAACACATCCTCAACGCCCAGGTGTCCATCCGGTCCCCGTGCTGTACGTGACAGATCTTCTCGCGGCTCTCGTCTGTCGTCGATAGCAGATTAACGATGCCCTGAACCGTAGGCCGGAAATGGTTCGACTGCGCCGACTGCCACAGGGAGCAGGAAGATCATCCTCTACTGAAGTCCTTTGACATGGTATGTCTGAGAGACGATCCGTGAAAGCCGTTGAGATCAAGTCGTCCTGGAGCGAGTATGGGCAAGAGTAAAATACTGAGAGAAATCTCCTCCGGGGGTAACTTAGACGTTTGCATGCAAGAAATGCAAGAAATGTTTCCGCAAGGACGCATCGGATTTTGAAGAGAGGTGAGTAAAAGGGCAATACAATATCCAATCTGCTCTCCAAAGGTCCCTACTGAGTCGACATTTTGTGAAAATATAGTGACGAGTACTGCCCGCACTGCGATAACCACTTCGTCATCGAGGCCGTGACACCCAAACCCGCGCTGCAAGTGGAAGGCGAGGACGCACGCGTTGATTCGAGGTGTGTTATTTCTAGCAGATCTTCTTCTGAGATATTTGTACAGCACATAACTGACGTCCAACAAGAATGCTCAAGGATGACCGTATACGTGGACATGCGGAGCGGTCCATCTTCAACGTCAAGGATGCGGCCGACCGGCTGGGTTAGCCTCGCCGTGAACTCACTGGTCACGATGATACGAAGCTTTGAGATTTTACTACCGGTGCCCTGGGTGCCGGGGCGTTTTTGATGATTGTCTTTTCTTACGAGATATCCCCGAGTACGACATATCGAAGAGCAGATGTAAATAGGTCGAGCACCATGACAGCATAACACAGCGGCATATCTTGAGAAGTCTTTTCTTTTTCTTTGATGGAAGAAAACAAAGTTTCGTAAACCATAAAAGAGATCCTTGTAGCCTCTACAACGCCCACTTCAGAAGTCGAACAGAACATGCATCTAGCTCTCAGACCCCTCACCGCCGCCCCGCGTTAATATGGCAGCCGTGCCCGTCCCAGGCGTCCGCCCAGTCTTCTTCTTAGCGGCTTCTTCCTGTTTCTCGACCTCGATGCTCTTGACGTATGACTCGATCTGCTCCGTAGGGAGCATCTCCACAGGCTTGCCAGGGGCCATGATGGCGATCTCAATATTCTTGGCTCCCGTCTGCACCACCTCCAGCAACGACTTGATGGTCAACTGAATGGTGGCCTCGCGATCCATGTCATCCTTGTAATTCCTCTCGAGAAACTCTCGAACAGTCTTGCTCGACCGGCCAATGGCGTTTGCTTTCCTAGGGGGTCGTCAGCTTCGTGAAGAGAGAATTTCCCGTAAGCGTAAGAAGAGACAGCACCAAAGCCTTACCATGCAGAGTAGATTCCAGATGGTTCCGTCTGGTATAACCGGGGAGTAGTGTCGCCCTTGTCAAACCCAACAATCAAGGTACTGATTCCGAACGGTCGAACACCACCGCTCTGAGTGTATCGCTGCTGCACGCCAGCAACATATTTCGTGATGTATTCAATAGTCACGGGATCCTCAACTGTCAGCCGGTGCGACTGGGCCTCCACCCTGGCCTTGTCGATAAGGATTCTGGCATCGGCGTTCAACCCGGCGAAAGCAAGGCAGACGTGCTTGTCGATCAAGCCGATTTTCGAGGGAGTGATTCGAGTATCTTGGAGCTTCATTGCCGATCGCTTCTCGCATCCTAGAACGACGACATCCTTGCCCTTAACACCCACCGCGCAGGTCCCTAGCATCATCAGCATCCCCACTTAAGCCTAACGGATCGCGCCAACGCATACCTCGCTTGACAGCCTCCAGAGCATATTCGACCTGAAAGACGTGCCCATCGGGACTGGATTGAGGTTAGAGATTGCATTCTAGAACTTGATAAACGGCCATTTTACCTGAAGACTACTTTATGTTAGAAGGAACGTCCAAACGGGTGAGCGATGAGCTATCCTACCTGAAAGAGCTCTGTCGTATCCCGAGGCCATTTTAGACAGGAAGAGTGGGCGGGGCCGGTATGAAGCTCAGATGCGAAAAGAGAAAAGTAAAAAGTAAGGCAGATATAAAAAAAATTATTGCAGGGATTGAGAATCGGGGGCAGCTGTGAGGTCTGGAGTAGTTGGGGAGATCCGGCCAGCTGCTGATGACAGATGCTGCCCGGGGACGCGAAGCCCGCGGCTGCCTCACAGATGCGGAAGCGCCTAGCCGCGCGGTTAATTCTTGCGCGGCAACAAACACTATGAAATTGGATAATGGCATCCACCTCTCTTTACTCACTGGTATTCTTTTTAAATGTCAGATGGTTTTATCTAGAATACTTTCTGTTGTTTAATATCCTAATCTTGATATGTAATTATGTACCGTATTATTGGATTATTCTGACTTCAAATAATTATGACTTCAAATGCTCTCGGATCATTTCAATGACCAATGCATTCTGTTCCAAATGAACACTGTGGTTCGCATTGCTGACGACCTCCAAGCGTGCCCGGGGAATCCGCGAGGCAATGAATTCCGACTGCACTGGTGGACAGATCCAATCCTTCTCCCCAACTATGACCAATGTCTTCGCCGTGATCTTGGGAAGGTCGTCGCGATAGTCAAAGAATTTTTCTGGCTCGGCATATAGGTCGTCTGGCAAAACAAAGAATCAGTCAACATGTTGAGGAAACTGTTCAGAGTACTGACTGCTGACTATGGACTCGGCAAAGAAGACCGTGTCCAAGTTCTTCTGCAGTGCAATGTTGGCATCGAACTTCTCACTGTACAGCGGTGCGGCAGCATGCATCACAAGACGAAATTCCAGGTCGCTGTCAAACCGACCGAAGATCTTGTTCCGCAGCATCTCGACGGACAACCCGGGCGCCTTGTGGAGTCTTTGTTCGAGTACTTTGATGGCTTGCTCTTCGTCTGAGAAAATGAGTCAACACATACCCACAGAATTCTAGATAGAGTCAGACTCACGATGATAAGAAGGCGCCGTGCCTCGTAAAATCAAATGGGAGACATGCGAGGGGTATTTGATCGCATACCGCTGCGCCAAAAACCCTCCGAAACTGCCGCCACAGATAATACAGGGTACTGTTGGGCCTGCAAAATGCCTTCGATATCCTCCACGATTTGCGCAAAGGTATATGGCTTGGTTCGGGAGCTGCGACCATGACCTCGAAAGTCAAAGGACAAAACGCGATACTGATCCGATAGAGGAGAGTAGGCTTGGAAATCAGAAGTATGGTCGCCTGTCTGCTGTCAGATTTTTTTTGTCATACTTCGCAGAGAAATGACACTTACCAAACCCTCGTCCACCATGCAAAGTGATAATCAGAGGAGCGTTAGGAGGTCCTTTCAACCGGTAGGCCAGTCGAGCATTGTTGATATCGATATATTCCACCATGGTTTAACACTTGATTGATACAGCCTTCAAAGGAAGAAGAGAAGATTTACGTGAAGACGTAGATAAGCACTGTTATATCAATAGATCTTTCTAACACACTGCGCAATAGGTGGAGCAATTCACCTCAGATCGACTATCCTATCCCGACACTTTTTATTATTAACCAAGTTGGGAAATGCTTACCGGGGCTGGCCCGACTGAAGGCGGGGTTTCGATTGTATCGGTTGGAAACTAGTACCAAGTATTTACAAATATCTGCTAATATAACCTATTTTTTAGATAATCCATAGGATTCCTTGCTGGGAAGAATCGGCATTGCTTACAAAGACATCTTGATGTAGGGTTCTGATTGAAGAATCTGATGAAATGGACGAATAATTATCTAGGTGCTTGCTTGGTTGAACTAGGGAAGAAGATAATACTGTATCTACCTAGGTAAAAAAGATGCGCCTTATTGGTGGCAAACTATGCCGAAAGGGAAACAGACAGCAGACGGAGGGGATATCCGAAATTGATCTTTGAATTATATAGAAGAGAGGGCACCGGTGGCTGTTGCAGTAGTTTCGGTGACGATTATTATATAAAATAGCAGTGAGTGTTTAGTTGCTGTTATCGAGAGAGGCCTGGATGTATGAACTACTGCATAAGCTTCCCGTTGCATCACACTGATACACGCACGAAAAAAAAAACTCCCGCAGCAAAACTACACTCCATGCAGTCAGTCTTGACATTGTCCCCATAAAAAATCAGACTAAGAAGTCAGCGATCGACAAGGGCAGAGAAGAGAAGGACAGACGGCGAAGGGAAAAAAAAATGACCCCTAGACCAGGGCGGGATCGAACCGCCGATCTTCGCATCACATCATACGGAATCACCCGCTGGGGGCGAGTTCCATATAAGAGCGATATGCTAACCACTGCACCACTGGTCTAAGTTTCAACAGAGTTTTGCATACGTCTAATATTTCTGTAACCCTCGTTATGGTATTAGGATGTCTCCGAGCTCTTCGCTTGTTGTTCTTCTACGAGTCTTTTTCCGTTTTATATGACTCGCTGGTGATGGAGTTAGATTGTCTAAAATAAATTCTAATGATCTAAATGGTTTAACACACGGTTTTTTATTTATCTTTTTTTTTGTCTCTCCATTTGGCTTTTTTTTTTCAAGCGCGCATTGGTCCTGTCGGGAGGAACATCAATATGGATGTCTCCTCCAAAAAAAAATAAAATCTTACAGCACTCATCAGGCCTTAGAGGCTTACTTTATTGAGGTCGACTGTGATGGACTGTACTTATCTGGCCTTTAATCTGCGATAACGCTGCCTCTCTGCCTCTTGCAAATACAGACATCCCACTCCTCAAGAGAATCAAATATTTTCTGATATCTACTCCGCAGTATCCAGACGTACAATTTGAGGTGGTTCTCATGTACCGTCCCAATAATGCAACACAGAGAAAGTCCATTGTTACCAACACGTTCATTAAAAGGGAAAGAAGTGATACTTTCCCAGTAATCGACGAAGTCGAGACAAGGGCTACTGTGAAATACTCCGTATGGGATAGCTCGAGGAATGGAACCACGGATGATTCCGGATGACCGATAAATCTGGTCTGACTAGCCTTTCTCTTACGACATCTTGGTATCAATGGTGCTGTTTGACGCGTTGCGTGGGAACTTGTCCTGTCACAGAATCCACAAGCACCGAATTGTACACGTCAGAGCTCTTGCTCTAGCTCCTGTTCAAAGCAAGAACTGGCCTGAGAGAAGCTCAGGTCAGCTGTGTTTCAGGAGCTGGAAGAACTTGCAACAGGGCACATGACTCCCGCCTTGATCTAGACGAGTCCATGACTCCATAGGGAAAAGGAAATGGTCACTATCAAATGATGAGAGTCATGAGACACTTGAAGTTCCAGAGTTGAAAGACATCCAAGCTACATAGGGTTAACCACGTGGAGACAGCATCAACCTATGTAGTTCTAAGGAGCTTGGGCCATCAAGCTAAAGAGGTCCCTAGGTCTGGATTTTCTGACCGTAAGAAGCTGGCACTGGCAAATGATACCGTGATGATCTGTCACGAAAGCAAGGATATGAAATCCGGGTGTTTCAGAGTATATAGACCATAATCAGGTACGCCATGAGGGGCTCGCGCCGCGTCATCCATTTAAGCTTGACTATTTAGAAGTTAGCCAGAATGAACAGAAGGAAAGCACACGGATTTCGAAGCGGTGATCATTGTTGACCGAATTGAATTGAAATTGTTTAGTATAGGATGACCTGGATGTAGAAGACGAGAGTGAGCATATTTAAATTTTTTTTTCCCGCCTCCAAGCTGCGGGGAACAAGTATGGAGTCATGGCTGCGCTCCTGACTGTGGCGTCAAATCTCAAAGGGTGATCCTTGACCATTTTCTCTATGCAAAAGATGCCTCACAATAATGACGTGTCTTTTCGGATGGAGAAGCTAGACCAGAGGCGCTGAGGCGGTCGATAATTTCTGAAATGCAGTCTCAGTCCACTTTCCTTTTCCCAACAACCAGCTCAGCGGGTCTAAGGCTCCAAGTTGAATGAGAGGCTCTCGCATCCTGGTAATGTTCACAGCCTTTTATTATCTCCGATTATTCTCCAGTGGCGGAGCCCACAACACGGCTCCCCGGTCACTGATAGAGCCCGTTTTCATGTGTTCCCGTCATGTTCCTTGCGGCTCCACTGGGATTGTCGGCAGGGCGGTACGAACTCAAGATGAATTGTTGGAACTTGGGACGTTCAGAAGCAGAATCGACAAAAGGCTTATCGTTTCCCTAGGCAGCTGCCTACCTGGTAAACTCGTAAAGAAAGCGTGGCACATGCATCAGTGGGGAACCAAGGCAAGGGGTGATCCGCCGAAGCTCTGCTCGTGCAGTCCGAGCTTCCAGCGGTAACGTTGGCGTTGTTGGCATTGCCCGTTGCGCCGTCTGCTGTCAGGGGGATGCTGCCTTAGGCCGCGGCGTGTTCATGCCACCATACTCCGTACGCGCCGGATGCTTCGTTTGCTTTATCGAAGGCGTACAACGGAGTCATGCAGGTCACACAGCGATGGCACCAGTCACCGGGGCCCTGGAAACGCGTAAGCCGGAGATGCAGTCGACAGGGACAGGCACAGCAGCAGCGAGTCGACCGTGGGAAGGACGCGCTTGCAGTCTCCAAACCCCCCGATCGGGTGGCTGCTCTGCGGCGACGAATCACCATCCTCCAAATGGGACGCTTTCTCTGGATGCTGACCGGCGCCGTCCACGGGTCATGCTTGCGGTTTTCTGATGCCTCTGCTCTTGCCTGTCTATTATTGTTATTTAATTGCCGCTCTCCACGAAGGAGTTTATTCGCAGCAGGCAAACTATAATCACAATGCGCAATTAAGTGGGAACGCAGCACAGTAAAAAAAAAGGCAGACTAATTAGCATCATTATTCAGCAGTATATTGATCATAGATTGATAATATCGATCATTGTCAACGTGCAAAGGCTGGGCAATGTTTTTCTTCTGTGCTTTTTTTTTCAGCCCTGCTTATACAAAACTGCCCTCTTGGCGTAGTCTCCATCGCAGAAGCCGCAAACTGATGTCGCCGTCAATGCGTGATTATTCAAGATTTTAGTTAAGCCGGCGCAAATAATCACCCGCCGGGAGATGGAGAGGTGGTAATTCGGTGGCAGACGGATACCCCGTCCACTGTGCAAGACTCATCTTCCATCGCGCAGAGAAACAAGACTTGCAGAACAAAATAATCGCTCTGCAAACCGCTGCAGTGGCCGTGCAGTGCCAACAGCGTGGGCGTAGCAGCCGATATCCCCTGGGCGGGCAGGCCACGGTTGTCTGTCGTGCGGTTAGGTCGCGGCCGTCGCTATCTCCTGCCTGGCGTCCCCCAAGCCCGAAACTTTTCCTAATCCACGGTCCACCAGCTTCAAGCACATCTTTTTCTCTCCTCCTCCCCTTCCACTCGCCCTCCATCCCTCCTCCCCCGTCCCCGTCCTTCCTCCCTCCAACCACGGTCACGACTGCTTCCCGTCGTGATCGATCTGCTCCTTCCGCAGGGACGTCCGTTTGCCCACTTGCCCTGCCGCCATTCCGGCCTCTCCCACGCAGCGAGAGATGGCAGCCGCCCCGACCACCACGCCGAAGCTGGACCGCTACATCGTCATCCACGTCGCAACGACATGTGACGAGCACGGCGTCTACGTCACCAAGGACTCGGCCGAAGTGATCGAGCTGGGATGGATCCTGCTGGATACCAAGACTTGTGAGGAGGTGGGTGATGCTGCTGTGCCCTCTGCTCTGTCCATCCCGCTGACCGAGGCGTCTTTTTTCCTTTTGCGAAACAGTTGCATCGGGAGAGTGTCCTTGTCAAGCCCGTCAACACCCCCATCACTCCCCTCTGCAGTAAGTCCCTTCGCACCAATCGCCTCCGCCCGTGCTGCCTCGTCGATTCGTGGTCAAAGGCTGACGGTTGGATACAGCGAGCTTGACCACCCTCACGTGGGAGCATGTTCGCAATGCAGGGACCTTCCGCGATGCCATCAACCGGTTTGATGCCTTCGCCCAGGAACACCTCATCTCCAAGAATCTCGAGTTCTCGTTCGTGACCCTCGACTCCTGGGATCTCCGCGTACAGCTGCCCCGTGAGGCTCGAGACAAGGCCGTCGTTCTGCCTCCGTACCTGCAGCACTCTCGCACCTTTGACCTTCGTACCGAGTACCAGAGATGGCAAACCCACCACCCGGAGTCGTTGCCTTTTGGTCCCAGCTCCCTGTCCAATATCTGCGCTGCCCTCGAGGTCGAACCTGTCCAGTCCTCCGCGCCAATCAAGCACAATCTTCCTTTCCATCTGCAGGCATTGGCGCCAGCGTCTCCGCGGCGGGCCATGGAAGAAGCCATCACGCTGGCCCGAGTCCTCCGAGGTTTGATCCGCAAGTCGCAGCCCCCTCATGAACATCCCGAAATCTTGACCCGTCCCATGGACGCAAGAGCGGATGTTCGCGCCTTCCTGGCAGAGCGCAGCAAGGTCCTTCATCTGAGCGGCCTGCCCCATGACACGACTCAATCGGAACTGGAGAGCTGGTTCACTCAGTATGGAGGACGCCCGATTGCCTTTTGGACGCTTCGCACGCCGGACCAGCACAAGCCCACCGGTACCGGGTTCGCGGTGTTTTCATCTCATGAAGAGGTACGTAATCGGTTGTTCCTTTTCGGATCTATTTCTGGTACTAATTTTATGTCTTGTGATACAGGCTGCTGAGAGTCTGTGCATGAATGGCCGTGCATTAAACGAGAAGGCCATCGAGGTCTCGCCGTCATCCAGTCGGGTCCTCGACCGTGCGGCCGAAATCCTCACGCCGTTCCCTCCGTCCAAGAATCGCCCCAGACCTGGCGACTGGACTTGCCCCTCTTGTGGCTTCTCCAACTTCCAGCGCCGTACGGCCTGTTTCCGCTGCTCCTTCCCTGCGGTCGGTGCTGCGCCCGACCCCATGGGATATGGAGCTTACGGCTATGGCCCTCCTTCCATGATTCCTCCTATGGGTCACCATGGAGCCCATGCCATGGGCCATACTCGTGGTATGGGAGGCAACGGTGGTGTGGTGCCATTCCGGGCTGGTGACTGGAAGTGTGGCTCGGAGGGCTGCGGCTATCACAATTTCGCCAAGAACATCAACTGTTTGCGATGCGGTGCTCCGCGCTCCGGGGCTGCTGTTGTCGCCGACTCTGCATTCCCGTCTCCTATGGACCCTCCGTCGGGCTTCGGAATGGGCCCGGGGTCCATGGCCAGTACTCCCGCCCCGGGTCCTTTTGCCTCGACTGCAGGAGGCTTTGGCGGTTTTGGTCAGCAATTTGGTGCTCCACCAAACAACTATGCCTTGCCGTCGGGGCTTGGAAACGCTCCTGCGCCCTATCCTCCCATGGGACAGGTGAATGCAGGATATGGCTCCCCTAACGTGTCCCAGTCTACGGCCTCGTTTGGCAACCCGGCGACCCAGGCTGCATTTAGCGGAGCGGACCACGCGCCCCAGTCCACCGCGTCCAACGGCAATCTCTACAGCACTGACGGATCCAATGATCCTTTTGCATTCCTGTCCTCGGGACTTGGTGGCCTCACCGTGAGTGACGATGCCCATGGTCGCAGAAACGGTACTGCTTCCAACAAGTCCCCAGCATAAACGCATATCTCCTTTTTTTTTGCATTTCCCCCAAGTTCAGTAGTAAATCTGTGTGTATGCTTTACCGTTGGCATAGGTGTGGATCGTGTGTTGTTTGACGCGTACATGTATAAGGAAATTTGGTTTGGTGCATTTTGGCAGGAAGGAGCTGGCTGGCTGGGAGCTTGTCGCTGATTCTCACGGGTCTTTTTTCTTTCGCATTTCTCTTTGTCCTAATTTCTTTGTTCCATGAGCCATCTTTTTTGGCTTTCTCTGCGTTCTGGTTCTTTGTTTTGAAAGCAGTTGTACGACTAGCCCCAGACACAGTCTGAGGGACGGGCTTTGGAGTGGCATTGGGCTTCGATCAATATATGCTCAATGTCCCGTCCCCTGCTGGATGCTAGTTCTCCCAGTGACTTTCTGCGTGGAGATGACACCGTCCTGAGACGGAAAGAGATTCGTTCTTGGAACGAAACCTGGGGCATGCAACATAAGTTCAACATGGCATGACATTGGCATTGGGATGATTCCACGCCCATTTCATCGCAATGATGAAGTGGGCAATCACTGCAAATGCTTTGGTATGGTCACGGAAAGGATACCATGGAACGGACTGCGTTGGGGGTGTTGGGGCATTCCTTTCAAGCTGGCAGAAAAGCGGCATGGTAAGACACACAGTATAAAAGAATTCTTGTTGGTCCATAACGGCTTCTTTGTATTTGGGAAAAAGTCGTCATTGTTGTGGGATGGATATACAAAAGGATGTGAGTGATAAATTGTATTACATTGGAGAGGGAAAAGGTTTTGTCCTTGGAAAGAAAATTTCCTGGCCATTTTTCATTCTTTTTAATTGTCTAAAATTGGGAGGGACAAAGACAGGCTGGAGGAATTGACTGACGGCTATTCTCCCGTGCTTTTTCTTTCTTTTCGGGTCATCTATTTCTGTCTTCTTTTACCTAGGTAGTTATTTAGTGCCTCTTTTTTTTTCTTCCCCCTTGACATAACAGATGATGCATTCTTTTTTCATCGTTCTTCATTTCTATTCCGTCCTTTATAAAATTATTTCGTTTGTTTTCTTTTCTTCTCTAGTTCTCTTCTCTTAATTCCACTCTCATGCCTGGGAAGTTAGTATTAAGCGAGTGAGTGGGAGAGCGAGTCCAGAAGCAAAGAGTAGGTAAAAGAACGAACAAATACGAATACAACAAGGATGTAATAGTTCGACATTCAACTGACTTTAACGCTCGTAGCAAATTACGGTAGTAGAATTATGTCCAGGTCAATTATCAACCTTGGTTACTGGACTGAACGGCCGTCCAGATATATATCTACACAGACAGCATCCAAGGACAGAGGACAAATAAAATATACAGGGAATGCGAACAGAAAGGAAGCAAGAAGACACTTATATATTTATCAGAGGAGAAAGAGAAGGAGAAATTTATATGTACTGTATATAAAAAAAAATCTAAAATTGACTACACTTGAAAAAGGTAAAAAAAAGGACAAGAACTACCTATAGCCTAGAGCCTATAGCTCACTCTCTCATTCTCTTTCTCTTTCCCATAGTCAATTCAAACCCGATGTGATATCATAAAACCGGTCCAATCAATATAATATTATCCGTAAGACAAAGAAACGACAAAAATCAAAACCAACGCGCCGTAACACATTAAAAGTTCAAGACAAGACAAAAGACAAGAAAAAAGAAAGAGAAAAGAAAAGAACACAAGCCAAGTCAATTGGGAGAGTAAAGAGCAGGTGGTTATTTAGTTATTTGTTGTTGCTGTTGTTGTTTTTTTTACTCAGGTTCCTGACTGTCCCTTTCGGTCTTGATGACCGTCCCCTTGCTTTCATCATTCTCGTCTTCCTCCTCGTCCTCTTCGACGATGGTGTTGTCGATCACCACTTGGACTGTCCCATGGCCGCCGACAACGGACGGCTCTCGTGAGGCTCGAGATTCGGCCGAAGTGTATTCGGTCTCTTCCGTACCGGCCCGCTCTCTGCGTCCAGCGTCTTTGTTGTCGGATGGCTGAGTTTGAACGGCGGCCAGAAGCTTGAGGATGGTGTTCTTGACCTTGACGAGGGCATTGCGGCCCGCCGCGTCGGGGGCAACTCCATCTTCGATGGCCTGGTCGAGGAGCGTCTTGACTGTTTCCGCCAGCTCTATGTTGGCAGGATCGATCTCCTCGCGCATGCTTCGTCCACTAGATCGGAATACATCTTCACCTTCAGGGGCTCGAGACCCAGCTCTAGAAGGGGGAGTAGGCGCGGAGATATAGACCTTGCCTAACATGGAGATGAGCAGCTTCTTCTCTTCCTTGGAGCACTTCGTCGGGCCGGTGCTGATCCCGAGGACGCGTTCCAGAATATCTTTGACCAAGGCCAGATGCACGTAGCCATGGGCGCTGGAACTGGCAGCCCCTCCTGCCAGGACATTCTCACCACCCAGTCCGACTACCCTTCGCTCATCAGTCCATTCCACGAGCATTCCGATAACGCCGGCCATGAGAGCCTTCACTTCTCGCTCGCTCGCGGTTTCGTCGATGTCGCCATCACTGTCTTCCTCGGCTTCCAGGGAGAAGAACTCTTCCGCCGCATTCAGCACGGCCCGGACCACCGGGACGGCAACTTTGCGCATCCGCTGCGTGTTGGCGAGACGCGAATGGCAATACACCGGGAAGAAATACGTGAGAGCCTGCCTCAAGACCGGATTCTCGCGGGTCCGGGGGTGGAAGTATGACACAATGAGAGACTGCAGAAGAGTTTCGATGGAAGACTCGTTCAGTTCCTTGATCGCCGGGGGAACATTGGGTCCCGAAGGTGAGAGTGCGTTCGTAAGCAGGAGCTTGGAAAGAGCCGTTGCCGCTGTCGCCTGTACGCTAGGAGGGGAATTGGCTTTAAGGGCCTTGGCGAAAGCCTTCAAGAGTGGTTTCTGGAACGCAGGAGGCGACACGGTGTCGCTGTCCTGTTGCGCGACAGGAGCGAGCAGCGAGGGGTGAGTGGCCAGCATGTCTGCGAGAATCTGCAACGCCGTCACCTGCAGTGCCTCATGACCTTTGTTGAAGCAGTGGATGAACAGAGTCATGTTCTCTTCTGCAAGAGTCTGGACAACGAGTCAGCATATTTTGTATCTCCTGAACAAACGAAGCCAATGAGAAATTTACCTTGTCAAGCAAGCAACACAAGCCCAAACATTCCAATCCCCTCTCCCGGATCGGAGCTTCGTGGCTCCTGACTGCGGGCACAACAAGGTTATTCAACATGGTCACCAAGTGCATGTTCTGCTGCAGGTTGGTTTCGACATTTTGAAGCATGCACTGCGCAATGTGCAGACACTTCATATTGATCATTATCTCTCGCAGGATCTTGGCTTTGGCTTTCTCCTTGTCAAAGGGAACCTCCTCGTCTGTACCTGGAGTCTCAGATCGAGAGCGAGTGCTCCTGGATACGGAGCTGGTGTCATCGCTGATTTCAGACTTTGCGGAGACAAAGCTGTCCTCAGTAGTAATTGCATCGTGGACTTCTGCAACAGCTTCAAGAACGACACTGCAGAATTCGTTTTCACCTGCGGCGTCTGGGCCACATACACACCGTAGAACTTCCACCGTTAATTTGGTACACTCTTCCGGCAGTTCTGGCACGGCCAAATTCTCCCTCAACAAGGAGAACATCTTCCGTCGGCCGACTTCATCACTGTAGTCTAGGGTAAGGGCGATATGAAGAAGTTGTTCGACCACGAATTCGATTTCCATTGTATCTCCTTCATTCGTTCCACCAGTCAGGTTGGCCTGCTTCAATTTCCCAAGGAGAGCCGAAGAGTATTTCCCTAAGAAATGGGCGAGAGCCGTGACCTCGGGCATCTTTTCGTCCGCTAGGTCCTCATACTTGTCCTCGTTCTCCACCCGACAGAAATCATTGAAGCTGCGTGCCAAGAAGGCTGATTCTGCGGTGAGGTCATCCCAGAATTTCTCATCAAACACGACTGCCTCTCGGTAGTCGGGACGGCCCTCCCAGAAGCTTCGCATTGCTTCATGCGCAACGCCACCCTCCATTCCGGAGTTGACGACATCAATTCTCTCCAGCAACTCCAACAGCGCCGACATGTTCGGTGGTGAGAGTTGGTTCACCGGCCCTCCTTCTTCTGGGTGATTCCCGGCACAGTCTTCGATCCATCGTTCATAGAATAGCTTGCCGGTCGCTTTGCGCACATTTTCATCTCGATCGCGCAGGCCCCATCGTAGGAGTTTCTCACGCATGGATAGGGAGAGATGTCGGAAATCTCCAAGGGTAGGCAGTAAGCGTGAGTAAAGCGCACGGCGCGTGGCAGCGTCCAGGTCCCGGGCTCGTTCCAGGAGATAGGGAAGAGTAGCGGGAGTCAGTGGCAGGTTCAGTAGCAAAGTCTTGCGGACATCAGCGGCTGCATCATTCTGGAGGATATCGATCAATTTTTCAAGCAGTGCTGTGGACCCGTCATCGTCATCCTCGTCATCGCCCTCGTTGCCGACTAGTCGAGACAGACCCAGCACTGCCTGTACGCGAACCGCGGCTTCTTTATCCCGGATTCGCCTAAGAAGGCCGTGTCGAATCATACGATAAACTTCATCGTCAATCGCATCGAGTGAATTAACGATATGGGATATGATCTGAGTTGCGCGATATCTCACAACCTTGTCCTTCGCTGCCAGCAGCGGGACTATCGTGGAGGCAAGGTTGAAGGTAAGTCGGCTTGTGGGTGTTTCTATCTCCGTCTCATCGGCGTCGGAGGGGGCAAAGACTTCCGCATCTGTAAAAAAGCCATTAGCCTGGATGTGTTCTTAGAATGCGGTGATGTACTCACCTTTCTCAGAGGCGTGGCTTAGAAACAGTCCCAGAAACCGAATTATGCGATCACCGACCGGTTCTGTTTTCTTGACAGGAAGCACTCGAAGCATGCAGCGGGTGATTTCCACATTGAACTCTTTTTCTGCTAGGGTTTCCTCGCTTGGCGGGACATCTCCGCCCTCCTCATCCTGCTGGTCGGCTTGCTTGGGATCCTTTTTCGCCTTCTTCGAAGCTATGCCACAGCAGTGTTCCTGGATCTTGCGCAATCGCACCACGAGCTTTCGATGGCCGGTGGTTGAGCGCTGGGCGTCCGCAAAGATGGCGCAGACATCCGCGCGCAGATGCGGGGAAGTGGAGGGGGCGGCAGGCTCTTCTGGTATGGCAACAGACGGTGTGGCAGAAGGTGCACGTTTCCCAGATGCGGTCGACTGTCCCGATGCTTTGCGCGTTGCGGTTGAGGGTGGGGGCGCTGTACGAGCAGGCATGGTGATTGACTATCGTGTGTTTGCTCAACCAAATACTTCGTCGATCATAGGTATCGCTAATCTGTGATCACGGAGACGGTTCAGCGAGCGGTTAGGAGCAATCTCATGGGACGACTCCTTCTAGAAGAAAAAAGTCCCAAAGAAGGTTCAGTGTCGTCAAAATATGGGTCGTTAAAACTGTCGTAAGCGCTGATGGCTGCGAAGAGGAGGTTGTTGACAGCGCGGAGTAAACAAGCCGGACGGCCAATGTAAACAAAGCTAACCGGATGCGGATGATACGGCGCGCTAAGATAAGGGCTAGGGCAAGGCAGGATCGACCTATACCTTGTATTCGAGTGGTGCGAGAGCGGCATACTATGCCCCATCCTATGCAAAATATTGCGCTTAAGCTATTGTCTGACGCTTTTTACGCCGATTCTTCTCGATGCAGTTTGTTCTGCAGTTATTTGCTGCATGAACCCACTTGGGGATGCTTGCAGCCGCAATCACCACGTGACAGCGATCTCCGCGCTGACTAAGGCCGACAATCGGAAGCGCTGCGGAGAATGTCGAGCAGACGTCTGGCAGGACTCCCCACCTCACTTTTTCTGCAGACCATCAGGTCTTTG